CAGCACCCTGACAGTTGTTCTCTCACAGTATAGGAATATTGTCTGGGAATTATTGGTCTTAGAATATGTGTTGATGAGTGTGATGAACTCCATATGTTGAACAGAGCAACAGTCCCCTTTAAAGTCTTTGTGACCAGACCGCTCCTTTGGTACTCTGCAGCAGAAAGCCTTTCCTATATTCTCCAACACACCTTCTGATGATAATCCTTAAACACACACACACACACACACACACACACACACACACACACACAGCTGATGCCTATGGGAAGGTCACAAGCGGAACATGAGCATAATACACTTGCGTGTGGGATGTATTATTGCTAGAACAGTCAAGTACAACATTTTCCTGTTGCCTAGAATGGACACACAGTGGAATGTGGCTCCAGATCAGGTATGACAGGAAGTCCTCCCTGTCTGGAGCCACAATCCCACACACTCCTTCTCAGGCAATACAACATACATTTATATACATAAATTTTATTCAACCACCCAGAGTCCCAGCTTGACATGAAGGTTCTGGAAGCTCTCCTTCATGAGGATGTCCTCAGTCATCTCCTTGGTATGGCAATAAAACAGTTCCACAAGTCCCTTTTGGATTGTCTCATGCACATAGTGGTACTTCACCTCAATGTGCTTTGTCCTTGTGTGGAATTTCTCACTCTGGGACAGCTTTAGGCAACTCTGGTTGTTCTCCATCACACTAACAGGCCCCTTTCTCACCAACCCAAAGTCCTTGGTTAGTTGATTGAGCCAGGCCATCTCTCTGCAAGCTTCTGTGGCTGCAATGTATTCAGACTCTGCAGAAGATAAAGCTATATACTGTACTTCTGTTTATAACTACCCCATGAAATGGGACCATTTCCAAACATAAATACATATCCACCTGTGGATTTATAATCAGTCGTACATCCAGCCCAACCTGCATCAGAAAAACCAATCATTTTAGGATTACTAACAGCTGGTAGTCTTAATTTACAGTTTATTGTACCCCGTAAGTACCAAACCACCCTTTTCACACCCGCCCAGTCATATTCAGTGGGAGCATTTACTTTTCTGCTTAGAATTCCCACTGCACTGACTGGCTATATCAGGTCTACATGTAGTAACAAGATACAAAAGCTTTCCAATCTCTGACCTGTACTCATAGTTGTCTGGCAACAGCTTTGAATCATCTTGATTCTTTAAAAAGTCAGTTGTCATTGGTATGGCGAATGGGTGCACTTCTTACATCTGTATGCTTTCGATCAGTTCAGAAATCTTTTGCTTTTGGCTAAGAATAAATGAACCGTCGTCTTGAATTCCAAGATAGTACTGGATCTTTCCCAGTTCCTTGACTTCTATATATTTGCTTAAATATTTCACAACCTGTGTGTAGTCTCTCTTATTTACTGTGGCAACGGCCTTGCTTTTATCCAAGGAAGGATATTAATAAACAGTATATCCTCTCCTGCCTCCCTGAACATTCCCACACTTTTCCCCAGGAGGTAGGTCAGTAAGGGTCCACATTTTGTTTTGATGCAGTGCATCCATTTCCCTTCTTTTCCTTAGTTGCTTAAAAGGAAAGGGTTTCTGTGACTTTGGAGCTCTGCACTTCTTTGCAATGTGGCTTTCCTGGTCACAGTTAAAACATACAACTTTCTTAGATGTGGCATTGACCTTCACATGATGTCTAGACACATAGTTAGAGTTATTTACCCTTGCCCTCCTAATTGGAGACTCATCTCTTCCTTCACATTCATCTTTTAAATATGAAATTAATTATTTAAATGTTGTTTATTTAGCATCCATCAGAGTTGCAAAAGTATCAAACTTGGGTCCTAGTGACCCTAGGAAATAGCAAATTATCTGCTCTTCAACCAAAGGATACTGTGTCAATTCAAGTTTCTGAATGATTCCTGTAAACTCATTCACATGTTTCAGAAACTCTGTATTTGAATCTAATTTTAATTTGAGAATGCTTCACATCAACTTTCTGTGAGACCCTTTGCTGCTACTTCCATACATGATTTCCAGATTTTTAAGGATCTTGGTGGCATTCATCTAATGTATTAACCCGTGCCATTTGCACATCTGTAATTGCACTTAAAATGGTAGCTCCAGCTTGGTCATTCTGATCTTCCCATAGTTTAATTGCTGCAATGGAATCTTCATCTTCGCCAGTAGGCTTTTGATTAGTACAGTGGTACCTCGGGTGAGACGCGGGTGGCGCTGTGGGTAAAACCTCAGCGCCTAGGACTTGCCGATCGCATGGTCGGCGGTTCGAATCCCCGCGGCAGGGTGAGCTCCCGTCGTTCGGTCCCAGCTCCTGCCCACCTAGCAGTTTGAAAGCACCCTTAAAGTGCAAGTAGATAAATAGGTACCGCTTTATAGCAGGAAGGTAAACGGCGTTCTGTGTGCTGCTCTGGTGCCGGTTCGCCGGAGCAGCTTCGTCACGCTGGCCACGTGACCCGGAAGTGTCTGCGGACAGCGCTGGCTCCCGGCCTATAGAGTGAGATGATCGCACAACCCTAGAGTCTGTCAAGACTGGCCCTTACGGGCAGTGGTACCTTTACCTTTACCTTACCTCGGGTTACATACGCTTCAGGTTACAGACTCCGCTAACCCAGAAATAGTACCTCGAGTTAAGAACTTTGCTTCAGGTTGAGAACAGAAATCGTGCTCCGGTGGCGTGGCAGCAGCAGGAGGCCCCATTAGCTAAAGTGGTGCTTCAGGTTAAGAACAGTTTCAGGTTAAGTACAGACCTCCTGAACGAATTAAGTACTTAACCCGAGGTACCACTGTAGTTGCATTTAAAACTTTCTTTGCCTGAAGAATTGCTATCAAATGCTTTTTCCACAAAATAAAAATTCCTTCTTCTAATGTAGGCATTCTAAAGCTTGCATCACTGAAGAAGGTTCCACTTGCCATCTCAAAATCTGAAAAATAATAAAAAAATTAAAATTTTGAGAAAATTGCCAAAATTCAAAATCAAAATCTCAAAAAATTAAAAATAACTCTTTGCTGCCATGGCTACTGTGAACTCTAAGGGAAGGGGGGTAAGGCTTAATCCCCGCCCCCACACACAATGGAACATTAGACCATGTGCTTACCAGGAAGTAGACAAAGAAAAATGCTTTTCAGCTCAGAATCTCAATCCAGTGCCATCCACCAAAAATACTAAAAAATATTCAACTCTCTGCCCCATAACCCTTTTTGGGAATGTTAAGGAAGGTAGGAAAGGATACATTGTTTTGATATTATCCCTCCTCACTCACACTAGTGAGTAAACAGTAGAGCACGTTCCCATTGCAACTTATTGGAAGCAAGTTGCAAAGGGAATGTGCTCTGCTGTATACTTGAGGTGGTAGATCATTTTATCTACTTGGGCTCCATCATAACCAGCAAACTTTCCATCAGTCCCGAGCTGGGCAACCACATTGGCAAGGCAGCTATGGCAATAGCTCACCTCTCCAAAAGGGTATGGGAGAATGTGATGCTATCAACTGATACCAAGATGAAGGTCTACCAGGCTTTTATGTCGAGCATGAAGAGCAACACAAGGTTCTGCAGGGTCCTGATCCAGCTTGGAGGGTTTATTAACATCATACTTCAGTTTAGGAGTACGGGAAGACTAATTTCATTATCTGGCTCACATATCGAGTCAATGTACATGCCTGTTATCCATCATCACTATAAATATTTACAGGGAGTCTGGAAGGTATCCAAGACAAGGTCTTCATTCATTGTTGAATCTCTTCCCACCTTTAAACAGTGCCTTGGCCTCTGCCCCAAAAGGGCGGAGACATACTTGATCCCATGGAACAGCTAGGTTTGTGTTGTTTTGTTTTAATTGTCCTTTTTGAGAACAAGAAAAAGAGAAAATGGATACACAACCACCATGAAGGATGGCGTGAAGCCTAAACTTACTAAACTAAACATACAAATATGGTGAAAGTAAGAGGACAGCCACAAGATAATCAATTCATTTTTTTAAATATTTTTTTGTAATACAGTGGTACCTCGGGTTAAGTACTTAATTCGTTCCGGAGGTCCGTTCTTAACCTGAAACTGTTCTTTACCTGCAGCACCACTTTAGCTAATGGGGCCTCCTCCTGCTGCTGCGCCACCAGAGCACGACTTCTGTTCTTATCCTGAAGCAAAGTTCTTAACCTGAAGCACTATTTCTGGGTTCGCGGAGTCTGTAACCTGAAGAGTCTGTAACCTGAGGTACCACTGTGTGCTACAACAAAGTACAGCACTATTTGAAGCTACATAACTGACCAAACCAATAGCACAGCATGCTGAACATGAGATTGTGGAAAGAGAAGAATTTGTTTCATCAATAGGTGTATGCCAGGGAAGTATCTGAATATTGGTATAAAATGAGAATAATAAGGACTAGCGATAGAAAACGTAGCTATTACTGTTCTATTGTCCTTGGTTCTCAGTTTATCTACATAGATTATTGATTGCTGCAATTCAGTATTATTAAGTGCAATTCAATCATTATTGGTAAAAGAAAATGGAAAGAAATACAGCATTTGACATGATGCACGTTAGCAGAAGACGCCATGGGCCCATTAGACTGACACAAGCTCAATCCATACAGGAAAAGCACATATTACTATGACATTTGCTTGGGGGAGAATTGCTGCTTCCCAGCAACTGCAGTTAGCAGTCCTGGTGCTGGGAAACCATGATTTACTGACAGCGGGAGCGTTTGGTGAAGTGACATCATCTAAGCAGATTCCTGATGGCTCTACAGGCCGCCAGGGGAAAAGTCCATGTCCATAAAGGCCTTCTTCATCCATTCCTAATTATCTACCTATCCAGCTCAGACATTATCTGCAGTAGGATGAGGGTAAGATTAATCAGCGCTGAAATCATACAGTATTAAAATATGAACTATGTTCCCACCTTAATAAGATCCAGGTTCCCAAAGGAGAAAAAGCAACAGCAGCAGCTGTTTGTATGCGACTGACAAACTGCCAACTGATTTGAAATGGGCAACCTCTTCAGCTGAGCCAAGTCTTCCAAATTTGAATATTGATTTGTTGTGCTGTTTTTTTGCCCTCAGACTTCACACACCAAGCAATATCTTCTTCAGGCGGGGCATAGGACTCTCCTCCTAGAAAAGGTGAAAATAATAATAATAATAATAATAATAATAATAATAATAATAATAGTTTACACACATCTTTGGAGGGAACTGACAGGAAATCTCTAGCCAGACTTTTTACAGAGTCCTGAATGCAGTCTAGAGGGTTTGATGGCTTTCAGAGCTAGTAATTAAAGTACCATATAAATGTGGTGGTTTTTCTTCAAGATGTTTTTCCACTCTGTGGGTTTCATTTTGCTGTGGAATAAACAGCGCCGGGAGGGATGCATTCATGGATTCACACATTCCAGCCACCAAAAGGTTTAATTTCAACTTTAAAAGTCTTCTGTAGATTGTAGCTTTTGTCGTCACAAATGGGAAGCTCAGTAAGAATATATTTATCCCAAGCATGCTCATCCTAGCCTTGTGTCTGATGTAAAGTACTGGCATTTCTAATAAAATTAGGATGTGATTCTTCTTTTTTTGAGCTAGTTAATGATAGTAGAAACTGGAGATTGTCAGCCAGCCCCCAGCATGTCAGGGTAGATGCAGGGGCACTTCAAAACCAGTCATCTCATCCCCTATAAAATAGGTTTCTTTCTTACTAACATTAACGAAAAAGCTGAATTTCCCCTTGTAAATTGCAATGGGTGAAGGAAAATGGCATGACAGATAAGCAGATCCTGTGGGCCTTATTCAACGAGGGCCTTATTCAACAAGTCACTAACTATTTTTTAAAAATAATATTTTAATATATTTTTTATTCAGTTTTGAAAACTTAAAAACACATTAACTTCAAATTCAATATATGTTTCTCTTGCAAAATGAACAAGGTGACTTCCTACCCTTACCTCTGTGGTGATTTTATTCCCACCCATAATCTGCTGAATTATATGTCAAACTATATCTAATACACATTTCCTCTGTTACATTTATTGTCACTCTCAATCCACTGCTCATAATTGAAATCCTGCCCGCAAATTCATTTGACTACAGTTCTTTCTCAAATATTAAAAAAGAAGAATTTTCCATTCTTCAATAAAAAGTTCGGCACTTTGGTCTCTCACTCTTACTGTCAACTTCCCCAGTTCCAATCAGTCTGGCTAACCTAATCCAAACACACACACACACACACACACACACACACACACCCCACTCACACACAAAAGCAAATCTCACTACAACCAACCACAGACAACCAACCACACTCTAGAGCACCCCCAACCTCTCTCACCACCAAGGAAATACAACAAGTGGATAGCAACAGAACCCACACAAGTGACGCTAACACAAAACCCCACACATACACTAAGTAGAAGAATAGAAGCAATGTCACCCAACCCCACCCCACTCACCATTCCCCCTCCCCCTCTTTCACCCTCTTTTCTTCCTAACCTAACAATGTATTCAACACTAATGTCTCACAACAAATAAAACTGATCTGTAGAAAACACAACTTGGAAAAAGAGACAAGGCATGTATATTTGTAAACTAATAAATCTTTAATAAATATATATATATTAAAAAACAACAACTTTCCCAGTTCCTCATAGTTCATTAGTTTTGCAGTCCATTCCTCTTCGGTTGGGACATTTTCTTCCTTCCAATTTTGCACTTATAGGATTCTGGCAGCTGTTGTTGCATACATAAATAGTTCAATCATCTTCTTTGGGACATTTGTCCCCAATATCCCTAGAAGAAAAGCCTCAGGGGGGATTACCAATTATAACATCTTCATTTCATTATATATCATTTCCCAAAACCCCTTGGCTTTTTCACACGTCCATCACATCTGAAAGAAATGACCCTTCAGTATGCTTGCATTACCAACATTTACTTGACACAGTCTTATACATCATAGCCAGTTTATTTGGCATCAAATACCACCTGTATATCATTCATAGAGTTTCTTGGCAACTTAGTACCCTAGGAAGGTTCTTTGGGCATATTGGGCAGGCTTTGGTTGATATCTGACTGGTGGCAGGCATGATACGTTGCAACCTTTTAAATCAGGAGTAGGCAACCAAAGGCCCGGGTGATGCCTTCTCAATCTGGCCAGCGGACAGTCTGGGAATCAGCGTGTTTTTATATGAGTAGGATGTGTGCTTTTATTTAAAATGCATCTCTGGGTTATTTGTGGGGCCTGCCTGGTATTTTTACATGAGTAGGATGTGTGCTTTTATTTAAAATGCATCTCTGGGTTATTTGTGGGGCCTGCCTGGTATTTTTACATGAGTAGGATGTGTGCTTTTATTTAAAATGCATCTCTGGGTTATTTGTGGGGCCTGCCTGGTATTTTTACATGAGTAGGATGTGTGCTTTTATTTAAAATGCATCTCTGGGTTATTTGTGGGGCCTGCCTGGTATTTTTACATGAGTAGGATGTGTGCTTTTATTTAAAATGCATCTCTGGGTTATTTGTGGGGCATAGGAATTCATTCTTTCCCCCCTCCAAAATATAGTCCAGCCCACCACATGGTCTGAGGGACAGTGGGCCAGCCCACGGCTGAAAAAAGTTGCTGACCTCTGTTTTAAATCATTGGCACTTACACTGCTGATTCCTCTGCGTCTTCTCTTGCAAAGTGATATGAGTCCCAGTGGCACCTGGTGCTTATTGGGGCTGGTAGGAAAACGTTGATAGGTGGAACCAGAGACAATGACAGGCAGAGCCATCTAATTCTATTTCTGTCCTATCTGCCTTCCTGCTGCATTCTAGAAGGACAAAACTGAGACTGAAAAGGAGGAAGCTGGCAACTAGGGCCAGCCCCCTGGGTTGGCTGTAAGTCAGACAGACTGGTAGACAGACATTCCACCTGAATGGAGCTGCTGGATGTGGTGTAGTGGTTAAGAGCAGTGGACTCGTAATCTGGTGAACCGGGTTTGCTTCCCCGCTCTTCCACATGCAGCTGCTGGATGACCTTGGGCCAGTCACACTTCCCTGAAATCTCTCAGCCCCACTCACCTCACAGAGTGTTTGTTGTGGGGGAGGAAGGGAAAGGAGATTGTTAGCCGCTTTGAGACTCCTTAGGGTAGTGATAAAGCGGGATATCAAATCCAAACTCTCCTCCTCCTCCTCCTCCTCCTCCTCCTCCTCCTCCTCCTTCTTCTTCTTCTTCTTCCATCCCTAGTCCCTGTCTCCTAGCCAGGGTGGCATCTTACCTGCATCACCCAGACACACATCCTGCTCTCTCTAATTGCCTGTGTTGCTGAGCTGAGGCCCACCAATGGAGGAGCAATCACACGCATTTGGGAAAAATAAATATTTGCACACAATGATCTGGTGGATGGTTTTCTTAAAAGCCTTTCTGTGCTTTCTATTGCTAAGTTACCCGAGGAATGATTGATTGAGTCAGTTTGCAATGTGGACTCATGTTCTCCTCCCTATTTGCACTTATACTGGACACAAGAAGGGGGAAGGGCTCAAATAAGGTGCTTTCGATGTGCGTTGATGTTCAAACAGGCCCATAGATCCGGGCTGCGGAACCTGTGGCCTTCCTTATGTGGCTGGACTAGGGACCATCAGCCCCCACCATTGGCTGTGTTAAGTGGGACTGATGGGAGTTGGAGTCCAGCAACATCTGGAGGACCACAGGTTTCCTTAGCTCTATCATAGAGCTAAGGAGAGCTTAGCTCTATCATAGAGCATTTATTTAGCTTTGAGTGAACTCCTTCCAAGGATGATGATGATGATGATTTACTGTATTTCTTGCTCTATAAGACGCACAAGACCATAAGATGCACCTAGTTTTTGGACGAGGAAAACAAGAAAAAAAATATTCTGAATCCCAGAAGCCAGAACAGCAAGAGGGATCTGGCTTCTGGGATAGCCTCTTGCTGTTCTGGCTTATGGGATAGCCGTGTGCAGCCTCTCCCGGGCAGTGGGATGAAGGCCCCCCTCCCGGAAGAGGCTGCACGCGGCTAAGCCAGAAGCCAGGACAGCAAGCAGTGATCCCGCTTGCTGCCCTGGTTTCTGGCTTAGACGTGTGCAGCCTCTCCCGGGCAGCCGGATGAAGGCTCCCCCAAGAGCCACGCTCCCTTTAAAGAGTGCATATGTGGCTCTTGGGGGCAGGGGCTTTTCCCCTAGGAGGGAGAAGGGCAGCCCTTTTCCCTCCTCGGGGAAAAGCCCCCAAGAGCACGCTCTACGCGGCTCTTTAAAGGGAGCACTGAGCAAAGCCTCCCGCCTGCATTCGCTCCATAAGACACACACACACATTTCCCCTTACTTTATGGAGGGGGAAAGTGCGTCTTATATAGAGCGATAAATACAGTATTCAATTTGTATACCACTCTTCATCCAAAGATCCCAGAGTGGTTCACAACAGAAAAATACAAAATAAGAATATGAAATACATAACAAAAACAAACACAGTTACTGAACTCCCCTCCCACAAACACATTTATAAAGCCATAGGTTGTTAATCAGCCAAATGCCTGGTTAAAGAGAAACGTTTTCGCCTGGCACCTAAATATATATGTAATGAAGGCACCAGGCGAATGCCTCTGGGGAGAGCATTCCACAAATGGGGAGCCACGTGCTGATGTGCTACCTTTCTATGGGGTGGGTGCTTTTGTTGTGAGAGAACATTCACTTGTGTGCTTTTCCCCTCCTGCGCACTGAAGTGGAACAGTCTTAGAATGATGGTACCACAAAACCCTCCCTGAACTGAAAATCTGGTGTTAGTATTTCCTATGACAAGGGCGAAACTAGGCTTTATTTCACCCGAGTAAAAGACCCAGTTTCACCCGGGTCAAAGACTCCCCCCCCACATTTGCTTACACACACACAGGTTGGGAACCTCACTTGGGGCAAAAAACCCAGCTAGCCCCCTCGCCCCCAGCTATGGCTCTGCCTGTGAACATAACCTGAATATTTTTTGGGGGGAGGGGGGAAATCCTCCTGAGTAGCTTACAGCACAATTCCCATACACCTGCTCTGAATTATGTTGCATGAGTTCAGTGAGGCTTAGTACCAGGTATTGCCTATAGGATTCTAGCTTAAGAGTAGGACCTACCCACAACCCTCTCCTTCCCCCTCTCCCCCCTCTTTCCCCCTAATGTCTAGGACAATAGTGTCTCATACCAAATGTAAATGAACTGTGAAAAAGACTCTATGACTTCAAATTGGAGGTCCTATTAGCCAGGCAGTGTCTGATTCACAAACTCAGATTATCCACATCTAGGTGGCCTTAGATAAGCCACTCTTCTGTCAGCCCTGACACAGATCTAATATGCTGTTGTTGTTGTTTAGTCATTTAGTTGTGTCCGACTCTTCGTGACCCCATGGGCCAGAGCACGCCAGGCACTCCTGTCTTCCACTGCCTCCCGCAGTTTGGTCAAACTCATGTTCGTAGCTTCGAGAACACTGTCCAACCATCTCGTCCTCTGTCATCCCCTTTTCCTTGAGCCCTCCATCTTTCCCAACATCAGGTTCTTTTCCAGGGAGTCTTCTCTTCTCATGAGGTGGCCAAAGTATTGGAGCCTCAGCTTCAGGATCTGTCCTTCCAGTGAGCACTCAGGGCTGATTTCCTTAAGAATGGAGAGGTTTGATCTTCTGCAGTCCATGGGACTCTCAAGAGTCTCCTCCAACACCATAATTCAAAAGCATCAATTTATAGTGATCACAATACTAACTTAGCATACATGGTCTTGGTAAGGATAGAACTGAGATGGAACACGTTGGACACTTGTTAGTGCTATATAAATATTCACGTTTCTTATCATTAATATTATTAACGATTTCTGCACACACTTAAATGGGTAAGCAAAATAATCTCTCCCTCATAACTCCCTCATCATTTTATTATATTTATATCCCATATTTCCTGCTGAGAGCTCAAGGTGGCCCATATACTCATCCCTTCCTAAATTTTATCGGTGAAGCATAAGCCTCTTAATGCCAGGGTCATGGGTTCAAGTTCCATGTTAGACAAAAAGATTCCTGCATTGCAGACGGTTGGATTAGATGGCCCATGGGGTCCCTTCCAACTCTATGATTCTGTGACCCTGTGAGGTACATTAGGCTGAGAGATAGTGACCAGTCTAAAGTAGGCTTCATGCTCAAGTATGGAACTGAACCTGGTTCACAACACCTGAACCTAACTTGGCCCCCACTCCCTCAGAGGCCACCTCACCATCAACTGGGGCATCTGCCTCAAGTGTCAGATCCTGGCCACCATTGGGCCAAGTGAGTAGGATTTACCTGAATGGACACAATCCACCGGAATTTTTTCCCTATGTAACCATCAGTGAAACGACTAGAGCACTATGTTTCAGTGTTAAGGAAAAAGATCCACTGGTTTTATGGGTTATCCATCATGTTTACTGGTGAGGAGCTGGGAATGCTGTTTGAATTTTCCACCTTGGAAACCAAACAGTATGAGTCAGACCCTGGTCCGACCCAGACTTTTTTTCCTGTTGTACAGAACTTGGAAAGTACTGGCACCTTGGAAAGTTTTGAAAGAGAACTTTAATTCTAAACACTTGTTGCCTTTTGAATACCACCTCCATAATTCTTAGCTTTGGAAATATCACTGTCTTCTAAAAACACCACCACCAGGCTGATATAAATTTTGGAAGGAATACACACACAAAAATTGGATTTGCTATTTAAAGAGAGGTTTTGTGGAATGCATTTGGAGATATTCTCTTTCAAGTTGCCTTTCGTATGTGCAGTAACAGATAATTTATTCACAAAGACAGCCACGGGATTCCATGGCTGCCTTTTTAAAACCAAGCTCAAAGGTGTCAGATTTGTCACATTTATTTTGCTGAATTTGGAGCCAAAAAGAAACCTCAAATATTGGGCCAAGAGGAGGAAGCCATAAGGGTATTTTGAAGGCACAGTTCTTAAACAGAAGAGCTAAAGGGGGGGAATGGGGTGCCTTTTCTGCAACACCCATAAGCACATTTCACTGATTTTGATGAAAGGCACACCTAAGCAACTCAGCTGAGGGTGGTACCGCTAGTATATTAAACAAAGAAGCAAACAAGTCTCAAAACACACACACACAACTGATATCAATTAAATTGACTTCTAAGCAACTCAGTTTTGGATTGCATCTTTAGCAAGCTAAAATTGAAAATAAAACAAACTGTTCTTGGCTAAGTCAGGCTGCAAGGCTGCATTTTCAGCCATCCATCTTCATCCTCAAGCGCTTACTGTAGCACGAAGTCTCGTGTTCGGTGCGTTTTACTTCTGAGTAAACATACTTAAGATTATTCTACAGCGTTACCGAAACTTTGGGGGTTTATGTTAAAAAACAGCAATTTTACAGTGCACTCCTTACGCAAAAGTAAGTGTCACTGAGCCCAAGAAAGTTTACTCCAGGCAAATGGGTATGGATGGCAAGTTTGGTGTTCTGCAACATGTTAGAGCATTAGTGGTGGATTGATAGCAGGCACCGGACTGCTTTTTCTTGGAGAAGCAGATAAAAACAAACTAGCAAGCAAGCAAACATACAATTTCTCTTGAAAACAGCAACGTAGAAAACAAGTTCTCCCTCTCAAGTCCTGTTAGATTGTGCCCAAAATAAAATAACTGGGAGGGTCGAAACGGCAGGTGTAATAAAACCAAACCTTCCTCCTTTTCAAAAACAATCTTAAGCATGCCTCCTTAAAGGTTAAGTTCCACTGAGTTCTAGTTCTATGATGTTTACTCCCAGGAAAGTGGGTATACGACCCTGGCAGTCTTTCTTTCCTTCTCACCTGCCTCAATACGCTGTTTGTCTAGCAACTTCTCTCCCACATATTTTCGGAAGGCAATTTGGTGGCGCGTGGATTCTTCTGCTGCGCTTTTCCTTTGCCCTCCGGAGCCTTAGAAATTAAAGCGCCAGGTAGAAGCAACTGCAAAGCGCCAGATCTAATGAACGCTTCCTACAATCTATCTTTGAGAAGGAAAGGAGCGAGCAGAAGAGGTGTTTGGTTAGTTTTTTCGAGTTACAGCTAGAGTGGATAAATTATCAGATGAGAATGATGCCTTATTTCATAACGATAGTAATATATATATATATATCACATTATTATTATTATTATTATTATTATTATTATTATTATTATTATTCCTTATTTTAATTTATTTCATTTAGTCAATTTATACACCTCTTAATGTAATAAAAAAGTCTACGCGATTTAAAAGAATATCAGCAGGGTTATTTGAGGTGGGGTGGAATGGGGGAGACGAAGGCCGAGTCAGTGCCACAGTTCAATTATAAGCCATCGCCTGGAACTGAATAATGTAAAAAAATAAATTACTGAGCCAGGACATTTCTTTAATGCACTTTGAAAAGCGCTCTCTCTTTCTCACCCTCTCTGGCACCGCACGCACATATACATATTAGGGTACAGTGCGGAATAGAAGGTGAGATCAGTTCCCCTTCTTAGGTTTGATGCATTCCGACATTTCCTCCCAAGCCTCAAAATCCCGACTCCTTGATTTTCTTGAAGACTAGGCGCACTAGTGCCACGCTGCTCTCATTGTTTGTCACACGATTCCTCCTCCCAGACCCACAAGGAGCACGATCTGAAATCCTACTGGTGTCATTGGGAAGGTTTAATAAGCGCTTATTTAAGTCTACAATCCTTTCTTGTAAAGGCCAATTTCTTGCAGATGCCTATTTGGAAATCTGTTGGGCTTATACCGACTTAGATGCTTGACTTAAATTGGATTTATTGATATATACCTCCATCGAATTTGGTGAGACTTCCCGTGCGTGTTGGATCTGGCTGCCTATCACTTCCCCTTGAACTAATTCCTCTTACAATTGCTTAACTTTGTCTAAACAGCGACCAGAGATCATTGTCCACTTCTCCTAAAACGAATGTCCACTTCTACTGTTATTGATTGTGCTGCAGGCTGGCCTTCGGCGCGTATTAGTTTTCCATGACTTGATTTGCATCGGCCAAGGTGGGGCGGCTCTCGTTAACCTGAACGCGAACAATTCTCATCAAGTGTTGAGGTCTACTATAGCGCAAAAGGGTAAAGTGCTAGGCTTGGGCACCCGACTCATTTGCAGTCTATATATTCCCATACAAGGAATGGGATGATTTTCTAGAATAGATAGTCGTTCCTCCCCCATACAAGGATGGACGGTAGAATGGACACTTATTTACCTTTTTCAAAATTGAAATTAGTAGGCAGGAAACTCACAACTTGAGGCATATTTTCAAGGGCATCAACAGGGCTGGAGGTTGTGTGTTTTGCTAGGAAAAGGATAGATCTGCCCTTTTTAAATTTTAGATTTTGGCTTATAGATAGCGCCAAGGCGTGGGGAAGGTTGGATCGTTTACCTGCTGACCACAGTGGCTTGGATAGACACAAAAAGAATAAAAAATAAATAGCTACACAAAAGGGGGTTGTAAGTTGCGATGCTATTCGCATTTACCTTGGCATAAGCTCCGCTGAAGACCGCGGGGTTTACAAATGAGCGCGCGGGCGTATTGAGCTGCAGGAATGGTTATTGCTCTCTTAGTGCGACAGGTGTAGTTTCTGCACAGAAGCAGACAGACAGACAGACGCGCACGCTAAAAACAACATCAGCAACAACACCCAAGCAGACATCTGTATAGCCAAATATTTCTATAACTGTCATTGCAACTACGGGTGGGTAGGAGGGAAGCCAGCTTGGAATGTACAGAGCATTCGACTGGCATTTAAAAAAATAGTTACTGTACTTAATTTATTTCTATTCCGCCTTTCCCCCCAAAACCGGGACTCAAGGCGGCTTAATTCCTCTTTGAGACTCAGGTTCCTCTGAGGAAAACAACACCGCAGCATATTCGTAAAACAAAACAAAACAAGCCAAGGAAAAGGGAATTTGGGGCGCATCCCATCCAAAACTTGTTTATAGCTATTATATTTCTATACCGCCTTTCACCAGAAAAATTTGCGCAGGACGGTTTACAACCAAACAGAGCGTTAGAGAACATCACACACCATAAGCAAGATCGTTTTCAAAAAATATGGTGTTTTCAGTTTTTAAAAAAATAATGATGGTTAAGTAGACAAAAAGCATAATTATTTATGCATTTCAAATACCGTATCTAATTTAACGCGGGGGTTCGTCCCAAGCTCGAGTCCCTTCATTAGACTTAAATCGGGAAGGGATGGAGGTCTTGCTTTTTTTTCCTCAGCGCACCCGCGGAGCGCCTGAGATGTCGGAGGCGCAGGAAAAGCGCAGCGCAGGGTAAGGAAGTGGACCCTAGCGATGGGATTAACGCACCAAGCCCGCAAGATTTTGCCCGGTGAGTTGTGACTTGATTTTAGGGCTAGAGTCGCCAGCAAACTTTACTGCAAGTTTGGACTGCATGCAAGAAGCGGGTGGGGATAAGGAATACTGTGAAAACTGTATCCTTCTAAACCTCTCAAACCTTCTAAATCTCTCAAATCCACATCCTGCCTGGAATATTGCGGAGTTTGCCTTTAAATTGCTTTCAAGGTGGTATCTATGCATCACCCCATAAAACGCCATTTATGAAGAAGCAATGGGGGGCACTAATATTTGGAAGAATTGTAGCAAAACAGGCACGTATATCGGTTGGAGGGAGCGTGTGTTAAGGTGCAAAGATATCGGGTGAAAAATACTCATACCTACGAAGCAACTTACAGAGCTTTCAGTCCCCCTTTGATCCCATCAGAGTCCTGTTGGGTTTGGTGATCAGAGAAGCGATAATAATAATAGCGACAGAGTTCCAAAACGGAACAGCAAAATACGAGGTGGGAGGGTGGGGGAGAGATAAAAACCTTCCTACTATCCAAAGGTGGTATGATAAGTTTTTGGGGGAAATATTAACAAGATATAAAACCTCACAATAATTACAGGCTACAGCTAATTCAAATTTGATTATAGTTTTGTAAGAGCTTGATGCCAGGTTCTAAGATTCTCACTCGAGGCTCTCCTTTGAGTACTTTTGCCGTGGAAGGTGGGAGAAAAGAAAGAGGGAGCCTTTTCCGTGGTGGCCCCCCGTTGCAGAATATCCCCCCCACAACGATAAAACTGGCACTGACACTACAATCTTTTTTGGGATGTTGTTGCTGTTGTTGTTGATCAGATTTCTTAGTAGCTTCTGAAAGTCTCCAAGCAACTTTCATTTAAAAACATAAAAGCTAAAAACTTTTTCATACAATCAAGCATTTTAAATATTGGTTAGTGCTTTCATCGCTTTAAATTCTGCCTTGTTCTTGTTTTATTATTGTGTTTCATCCTGGCATGATTTGCTTAGTCCTGCCCATTGTATACCACTTTGATCCCTACAAGGATGAGAGGAAGTTTAAAACAGGTATTAATTAATTAATTGTGTGTGTGATTGACTCGGTCAACTGGACATACTCTAATAATTCATAGAATCAGAGAGATTCTAACTGAGAGAGAGAGAGAATATGCACACACAATTTCAAGCTTTGTAATTTTACAATAATGTAAAATTCAACATTAAAAACAATCAAAACAAATTGGAATAGGATTTACTGAATTATTTTATACATGTATTCAAGCAAACCTTTTTTTAAAAAAAATACTTCTAACCATTCCTCCTTATTTTTTTTTTATTTTTATTGGTGCTTGTTTGCTAATTTATATTCCTTGGTCATTCTAAATTGTGCCCCACAGAAGAAGGATTGTGTATTTCAAAATATAATGAGGCAATGTCTGAAATAAATAGAATTTTTTAATATATAAAGAAGCAAATTCCTTTTTTTCAGAAATATATTAAAATGCAAGATTTGATAAGCCACTTGGAGACCGAAACAAACCCTCATTTATCCTAGACTTTGCAAATTGATCTTCATTCTCAACGCTCTTTGGGTTGGTTCATAGAGGCAGCTCCTCATGGAAATCAATGGACAAGTTTTCTCTTCTCTGAAGGAACACACTAAATAGCTACATGTTGAGAAGAAAACAGAATTTTGAGGCACCTTTAAGGTGAATTGATTGATTGTGGCATAAATTTCCATGGATTCCCAAACATTTCAACATGGAGCAGACCCAGAAAAGCTACTGCAAAAGTAAACCAATTACTTTTTAAGTATTTGGGGTTCGTATTTTTTCGGCAGCAGGCAATAATGGCTACCTCTCTGGAATAAGAAGAAAACAGGTGCTGATCAGTCATTTCCCAGAATGCTAAATAGCAAACTGTGTTTGGTGGCAGTTAGGGATGGGCGAGGAATTTGATTCAGCTTTCATTTAAAACCCAATTTAAGAAATTCACACTTTCTGAGACAACACGGCCATCTGTCAAAATTCACACTTGTCTGAATTTTGTGACACATTTCTCCAGTGTTTACAAAGCAGCACATATTAGGGGGAAATGTGCCTAAAAATGAATATATTAGTAAAAAATAATGTACTGTATTAGGAGAAATTGCTTGCAAAAATGTGCACCAAAACACCATACAAAAATCTGTTTATTAGAAGAAATTCACATTAACATGCTGAAGAATTTTTAAGAGGATTTTAATTTTTTTTAAATTTGCAAATTGCTGCATAAACATGGAGAACTGAATCTCAGACTGGAAAATGAGAAATTGAGCAAACCCAAACTGACAGATCATTCCATTCCTAGTGACAGTACTAGGGGTGGAAAAACAGGAAACTCAAAGAGCGTTCCTAGAGTCAGGTGAGCATATGAAAAGCGTATTTCCTTTGAGTCAACACTGGGTTCCAGCAATGGAGGAGAAGAGGGTGATATACTTGTCTGGGTGCTTGCAGCTCTGTGTTACTGATGTGCTTTAAAAATCACGAAGAATGCCAGAGCTATGGGCAAAGGATTGGAATCCTACATAGCCAACCAAAGCTCTGACATTCTTAAAGCACCTCTCTTGCTTCTTTAGGTTGGAAGTTTCACCCCTGGCAGAACCACTTCTCTTTAGCAGCTGTATGGCAGGCAAAGATTCAAACGAGCACTTACTGTTCCCAGCCTTAACCCTGCGGAAAGCCATCTAATTAATTTGATTTTGACCTGTTTTTAGGAGGTAATTTAATTATTGTTTGATTTTATACTAATGTTATATATCTGATGTTAGCTGCCCTGTGTCTGACTTTGGCCGGGGAGGGCAGGATATAAATAAAAGATTATTATTATTATTATTACTATTATTATTACTGGTTTCCCACCATCAAGGAAAAGGAGAGACGAGGACCAACTTCAGTTGCTAAACGCCTGCCTTTCATGCACCTATGAATATGTGTGTATGTTTTTTTAAAATGTATTTTTATTAAAGATTTTCTTAGTTTACAAAAGTATGTGCAATCTCTCTCTCTCTTCCCCCCCCCCTCCAAGTAACATTTTTTACAGATCAGTTTCATTTGTTGAGACATTTGGAAGAAGAGGGGGAAAGGGGGTGGGAGATGAGTGTGGGTGGGGTGGCAATGTTTCTATTACGCTTCATATATGTGGGGTTTTGTGTCAGCGTCGCTTGTGCAGGTTCTATGCTATTCACTTGTGTTCCTTTGGTGGTGAGAGAGTTTGGAGTTGGCCTAGGGTGAGGTTGTTTGTTTGTGATTGCCTGTGGTGATCTTTGTTTTCATGTGTGAGTGGAGTGGGTGAGTGTTTTGGATCAGGTTAGCCACATTTATTGGTATGCTGTTGGTGGATTTTTGTCAATGTCTTGTTGGGCTGTGTATGTGATAAAGGGGAGCCATACCGGGGTGAAGGCGTCTTCTTCTATTTGTCCCCGTCTCAGTTTCAGTTTATTGGTTAATTTTTCTAGCATGTGTGTAGGTTTGTGAGTTTATGTGAATGTGTGCACATATCCGCATTCACACAACCGTTTCCCTCTTCCTGCCCTTTGCCAGGCCCAGCTATTCCCACTGGCATGCAGCCTCCACCCAACCAGGGCTTTTTTTCCAGCCGAAACTCACTGGCACTCAGTTCCTGCACCTCTCAGGTGGGTGCCATTGCCATTATAAGAGAGCGAGGTTCATGGCAAGTCCTGGCACCTCATTTTCTAGAGAAAATAGCACTGCACCCACCCACTCACCTCATGTCATCGTCAGGGGCAAAAAGGTTGCCCAGTCTGGTCTTTTGGTTTTTTGTTTTGTTTATTTATTTGCATTTTTTAAATTCATTCATATATTTGTTTATTTTTATTTTTCAGATAACAATACAAAAAAGAAGAGACTACGACAGAGAGCAACCCCTCCACCCTACCATGCAGAAATACAGTGCACAAAATTAGTAGCATCGGACAATAAATTTATTTTGCTTATTAGATAAAGGTGCCATTCCACAGACTCCCATGCGCTGTTGGTGGTCTGTAGCCATGCTCCTTTGGTGTCGCATATAAAAGCAAACTATACCAAGCTGAAGCAAGAGGGTTTGATTTTTTGCCTCTTGGTTTTTCCTCGCATGCAAGTGCTTGGTTTGTTCATTAATATTAGGTTCCAAAGTTGTAAAAATCGGGCCTCAAAAGGTCTGTATTCAAAGTTCTACAGAATTTAGCATTGCCAAGTCTTGCTATATCCATTAAGCAAGTTAGAAGTTTTTTGTGTGCCTGTGCTTGTCTTAAACCCTAGGATCCTTGCTAGAATATGTGATCAACAGAAACCCATCTGTTGCCTTTTTTATTTTCTGATCAAGATAGGAAATTCTCTTGTGCAAAACACATTTCTCCTTCCACAGTTGTCAACCAGTTGCTGTATAGAAACTGCCTCCAGTTCTAGAAATTAACACCAATATTTGTGTGACTGAGTTGTGGCCAACACTGGACCTCATGAAGTGAATAAATTGAAGTTAGGTCCATGAATTTCAGTGAGTTTACTCTGAGCATTGGATCACTGTTTTTAGAACATTTTAGCGGTTTTAAAAACCCATTGTTTCATTATTGATGTGTTTGCTGCCTTGGGCTCCCTCAGGAGGAAGAGTGGAATATTAATGACTAATTTAAAAATGCAACTATTTTTTTTTAAACACTGTGTATTTGAAATTGTGATTCCTCCCCACTTTTAACCCCCTTCCGCATAGACTGGCAAAGTCCGATCGTCCTTTCAGGTAGTCGCGAATGAAGAGTGACCTTCCATTCCGAACTTTGTCTTTACAAGCCGAGGCTGAGAAATAATAATGTCTCAGAAGCACTTTCTCCACGGGGGGAAAAAGATGCACAAAAATAACGCGGAGCAAATGTCCCAGACAGCTCAGAGGGGTTTCAGTTTATTTGCAGGGCTCTTTAAGAGGTTGACAGAGGATATGTCAACAGAGCAGGTGTATGTATAGTAGCCAGCCAGACAAGTAAAGAATTTTAAAAGGTCAAAGGGAGAAGGTTTCAGTCCTTGAAGGCACACACCCATCATGTACCTCTTTGTTTGCTTGGAAGAGGGGAGCTGTATGTGTGCGTGTGCGAGAGAGAGAGATTGGGGGATGGAGGAGCAAACACTTGGTACTGTGGGCATCTCTTACTAAGGTCTGAAGCCAAGGATATGTCTCAATACAGTGGTACCTCGGGTTACATACGCTTCAGGTTACATACGCTTCAGGTTACAGACTCCGCTAACCCAGAAATATTACCTCAGGTTAAGAAGTTTGCTTCAGGATGAGAACAGAAATCATGCTCCGGCGGTGCAGCGGCAGCAGGAGGCCCCATTAGCTAAAGTGGTGCTTCAGGTTAAGAACAGTTTCAGGTTAAGAATGGACCTCCAGAACAAATTAAGTACTTAACCCGAGGTACCACTGTAGTGTGCTTGAGTTCTAGAATATGTGCGCGTCTTTTGAGGATGTGTCTTCCCTTCGCTGCTAAGTAAACACAGTCTGACCTAACAAACAATAAAAGGCCAAGGCACGATAAGAACATAAGAAAAATCCTGGTAGATCAGCCCAAAGGTTCACTGAGCCTAGCTTCTTGTTCTTCAATTGACTAACCAGATGGCTATTGGGAAACCCACAAAGAGGACTTGAGTTCTGGATTAGGCTAGCATTTGCAGAGTAACTGCAACTGGTGGTGTTTGCTACATTGGCCTTCACTGTGGAAATGTTGGTGGTGATGATATCTGATCCAGTATTTTCTAGTATGACAAACCGAGCTGATGAAGGATGAATCTTTAGAACTAACGGGCAAATTCATCAAAAAGTTGCCAAGGTCAAATTGCATCCAGCCAAAAGTCTCCAAGTGCGCAAATACTAACATTTTAACAGCACTGTACAATATAATTAAAATCAACCCGAGGATTAGAATTGTAACACAGGTTTGTTTTGCTTTTAAAAAATGGAAACCAGGGAGGAACTTGGAAATGCCGAACCTTTCAATCTGGCGTCTTGTCAAAGAAAATGGATAGAAAGGGTTCTCAAAGCCAGAACTGTTAAACATATAGGAAAACAGCTTTGATGGAGATGAATCACCAGGGCTTTTGCAAGAGGAGCTCCTGTCTCACTAAACTGTTAGAATTTTGTGTGTGCGTGTGTCAGAAAGCACATTGCTAAAGGCAACCCTGGAGACCTTTTATGCTTGGGGTACTTGCAAAACCCATTTGGCAATATCTGTCACCGTAGAACCCTAAGTGAATTTAGAGTAGTAATAGGTCGGATCCTCTTTCTCAGGATCAGGAAAATCCAAATTAAATGGGGAGGGGGGAGTGCAGACTGTCTCTCAGATGAAGATGACATCACACCGACAAAGTGGAAAACAGGCACACATGAGATGCTCTTAATCCACTGTAAACTGCAGCGTGGACACGCCCTTGAAGGCTGGATAAAGAAGACGGGAGAGCTGCCTTTGGTCCCTGGTCTGAAGGTCCCGACTCGCGTTCCATGCTCACTTTTGTGTACAGTGGTACCTCGGGTTAAGTCCTTAATTCGTTCCGGAGGTCTGTTCTTAACCTGAAACTGTTCTTAACCTGAAGCACCGTTTTAGCTAATGGGGCCTCCAGCTGCTGCCGCGCCGCCGGAGCACGATTTCTGTTCTCATCCTGAAGCAAAATTCGTAACCTGAGGTACTAATTCTGGGTTAGCGGAGTCTGTAACCTGAAGCGTATGTAACCTGACGTGTATGTAACCCGAGGTACCACTGTACTACCAAAACTATGCAGCGGCTGTGGAGGCACAGAATTGGTGTGGGTTTTTGCCCTGTGGAGTCACACAACAATTCCCTCAGTTCTGTGGATTACAAGGGGTTTGAAGTGGGCTGGCATAAGAAGGCAGTTGGACGGCTGCTCTGAATCCACAAAATTTCTCAAGCATTTCAGGGGCATCAAGGCTGCTGTTCTGGATGACAGTTATCCATTTTCAAAATTACTTTAGATGTACTTTAGTGCCCTTCAATAAACTCTAATTCACATTGAATGGAATCACATGGACCATTAGTACCGTTGATCAAAAAGCAGTTCCCAGTGGGGTTTTGAAATTGAAAATAAGGCTATTTGGGAAGAGGAATCAGACTGTGAGAAAATCAGGGGAGGATTAAATTGCCACTCTCATCAGCTGATTCTCCCCTGCAAATGCACACCCACGTTGGGAGTATTTCTAAGGTGGTTAGAAACACATAGTATAGATTTTTGTGCCTTCTTCACCATGTTGATTGACACAACAATACACAGCAATTTCTTCAAGTTTGTTGTGCTTATTTTCTGAAAGTCCCTCTTCCTTCTTCCACAAAATGATTGAAGGTGCAAAAGCCAGTTCCTGTGTGTGTGTGTGTGTGTGTGTGTGTGTGTGTGTGTGTGCATCTTTCCACCCTAGCTATTATGAGAGATGCTTACCAAGGTAATTTTGCCCAAGGGGCAACCTTTTCATTTGTTGTTGTTGTTGTTGTTGTTTAGTCATTTAGCTGTGTCCGACTCTTTGTGACCCCGTGGACCAGGGCACACCAGGCACTCCTGTCTTCCACTGCCTCCCACAGTTTGGTCAAATTCATGTTAGTAGCTTCAACAACACTGCCCAGCCATCTCGTCCTCTGTCGTCCCCTTCTCCTTGTGCCCTCCATCTTTCCCAGCATCAGGGTCTTTTCCAGGGAGTCTTCTCTTCTCATGAGGTGGCCAAAGTATTGGAGCCTCAGCTTCAGGACCTGTCCTTCCAGTGAGCACTCAGGGCTGATTTCCTTAAGAATGGATAGGTTTGATCTTCTTGCAGTCCATGGGACTCTCAAGAGTCTCCTCCAGCACCAGAATTCAAAAGCATCAATTCTTTGGCGATTAGCCTTCTTTTCATTTATGACCCATCAACAAGTTACGACCTAAAAGTTGCACCTATGTACCAAGGGAGTAGGGCAGATTTGGAGCTGTTCCACAGGTTTCTGTCAACCACTTACAACAGATGTCATCTGTCATGTGGCCCCTGGAAAGTCCCCACACAAAAAAGATGGTCCTTGTATTGAAAAAGTTTCCCCACCCCTGAGGTGATGTATGGGGCCCATTAGACGGTGCTGTGTCCAGTCCTTCAAACCTGGAGACAATCCTGAGAGAACACGATTCCCTTGCTGGCCTTGGCTTCCTATCCCAGGCACAATTCAAGCAGCTAGCTTGGATTTTTTGGCATTATAAATAGAGGTGGATGAATCTGCCTATGTCAATCCCGTAAAATTGGTTTTGCCCCATTTCTGCCTCTCATTCTCGTGTGTGTGTGTAACAATAAATGTAATAAAAGTGAATATTGCTAAAACTTCAATATAAGTAGCAATGTTCTGAGATGTATAAGGAAGGGTACAGTAATTTAAAAAAAAACAAAAAACACTCAGAGTCAGAAGGAAATGACATCTTTGAAATTTTGTTCCCCATTAACATTATTTTGTTCCCTGTTAATGGTGAAAGATCAAGACCAAAATAGCTATTTAAAAAACAAACTCTGCTCTGAACTCTCTGCCCTACTGACTAAAACTAGTCTCCATGGAGTAACTGAACTTTATCTGATGATTCATCCAGCACTGGAACCAATTAAACCTTGAAGTCCTGTTTGCTAGCAATTTGTATCATGCCCGAAAGCTCTCATTTCCATCCTTTGCAAGCACAAAGGCTAGGAATTTTAGTTTAAAAGTGAAATCTGAGATTCTGCACTCAATTTGAAACTGCCTGATGGTGACCTGGGCTGCTTAGCACACTATCTGCCCCCGGCCCAAGGCTGCTCAGCTAAACGAACTCTGAATGTGCCTCACACATTAGCCTAACCCTCCTCACTGGGTTGTTGTGAGGTGAAAATGTGATAAGCAACATATTCACTGGATTTCCCCTCTGTGGTTGCTCAGAGAGCAAAAAGCCATGATATAGATAACTATGCCGACTGCAAACAGTTTCTGTTATTTAGATTGAGGACAAATCAACATCTGGGGTGTAGAAGGTATGGTCTGAACACACCATCAGTGGCGTAGCACAGGAGCGGTTGCCCTGGGCACAAAATTGTCAGGGGCACTAAATTTCAATACCCAGTGCTGCCTCAATACAGCTGTGAGCTTCCGTTGCTGGGCTGGGCTCTATTGAAAACGGCTTCTCCATGCAAACCAGGAAGTGACCTCTCTAGGCAATGGAGCAACTTTTCCGATCTCCGTGGCTGCAATCAACTGGGTGACGCGGACGCTGTTAGGCTGTGGATTACACATGCATGCTCCCTCTGTCTCCCTCTTTCACCCCCACGTGGCCCTGGGCACTGGCAACCCACGCTATGCCACTGCACACCATGGGTGCCCTGAAAACAAATACTTCAGAGTGCAGCACATGGATGGCCCAAACCCAGGGCTTTTTTTTCAGTCAAAACTTGCTGGAACTCAGTTCTGGTACCTCTCAGGTGGGCACCATTGCCATTATAAGAGAACAAGGGAGGCGTTCGTGGTGAGTCCCGGCACCGCTTTTTCTAGAAAAATAGCACTGGCCAAACCATTCCTACCGCACATAAGAATGCCTTTTATGACCATTAACTGCATTTCTTGTGGTCTCCCACCACGAAGCCAAAGAGGCCACAGTTGAGGCAACTGTACATAGGCACTAGGAAGTGGCTAGTTTCTACAATAAGAGGTGTCAAGCATAGCCTGGTCAAGAGGAAGTCACACCCTCTGACCTGGAAATTCTTTGCTCTCAGTAAATAGGCTCTTAGTGATTATTTATTGGTGAAGAAAGGCACTTGCTCTGCACATAAGGAGGCCTGCTCCGACCTAAATTTTACTGGCCAGGCTGGAATTTTGCCCTCTTGCCCTCTCGCCGAAAAAGGGAAATGTAAAGCCCCCAGGGTGTGGTGGGATGCGGGTGATGGGAGTCCCACCCCCCACCCCCGTTAGCACCCTTGTCGATGCAGAAAAGGTTCCAGTATAATTTGTACATACACAGATGACAGCGCATGCATAGAAGACAGCTTCAGGAATTGGGGTGGGTGGGGCGGTGTGCAGGGCCAGAGGAACCAAAAAGGCCATGTGCCTTGGGTTAAGGCAGGGGTCAGCAAACTTTTTCCACTGTCCCTCAGACCTTGTGAGGGCCCAGACTATATTTTTTGGGGGAAATGAACGAATTCCTATGCCCCACAAATAACCCAGAGATGCATTTTAAATAAAATAAAACAAAACATTCTACTCATGTAAAAACTCGCTGATTCCTGGACAGTCTGCGGGCCATATTTAGAAGGCGATTGGGCCAAATCTGGCCCCCGGGCCTTAGTTTGCCTACCCATGGGTTAAGGCATCCCTGCCCCCTCTCTGATGTGTACAGCACTGTGCAAAGGCAACTTGAAACGCTGTGGGAGAAATTACCTTGCTGCTTTTTAAGCCACTCATGTGTACATACCCAGCATTCCCCTGAGGACGGGAAAAGCAACGCAGAGTATGCACAGCACATAAGGAGGAAGACACGGTCAAGTGAATCATGTACTGAGCCTTGGACTTTGGATTGTATATTTTTAAAGTCTCCAGTCTGGGCACATCACAGCACTGTGACCTTGCACAGCTCCCATTCATTTTGATGGGGCTTACATAAAAGAACACCCCACCACCAAAATGTGCTCCTAATTAAGGCAGGTGGACATTAGATAATTTAGGGATTACCTATTGGCATGTTTTGGGTGGCGCTGTGGGTTAAACCACAGAGCCGAGGACTTGCCGATCAGAAGGTCGGCAGTTCAAATCCCCGCGACGTGGTGAGCTCCCGTTGCTCGGTCCCTGCTCCTGCCAACCTAGCAGTTCGAAAGCACGTCAAAGTGCAAGTAGATAAATAGGTACCACTCTGGCGGGAAGGTAAACGCTGTTTCCGTGCGCTGCTCTGGTTCGCCAGAAGCAGCTTAGTCATGCTGGCTACATGACCCGGAAGCTGTACGCCGGCTCCCTCGGCCAATAAAGCGAGATGAGCACCGCAACCCCAGAGTCGGCCACAACTGGACCTAATGGTCAGGGGTCCCTTTACCTATTGGAATGTTTAGAGCTGCTTACATGGGGTTTTCTAGTTAATGTATGTTAAGGCACGGATTAAGCCCAAACTGCCTCAGCTTCACCAGTGCTCTAGGACTGGGGCTTCCAGTCCAGTTTCTGGGGCTAAACTGTGGCAAAGTCCCATTGCAGTCAAGTGTCCCTTTAGATTACCTGCAGGGCATTTTTGTACGCTTTCCTGTGCACAACAATTCTCTGCAAACAGAAAGCTAGCTCACCAGTAAGAATGGCACTATTACAAAAGTTTCCTATTTTCAGGAAGAGTTTGAGGGGGTTAGGGAACCGGAATGGTTCTCTTTTGCAGTATGAAGTGGTTCAGCCCATTCCACGTAGTCAGGATTCTACCCCACATTCTACAGCAAATGAAGAGCCACCTGTTTTACACACTGGTGGTGAACTGCGGCAGCAGAATTCTGTATTGTATGGCTTCAGGTTGTAAGTGTGCAAATTGTGGGGTGAGTCACTGAATGCTGCCCCACCTATAAAACAAAAACAAAAACAAAACCTTCTTGTAGGTAGAAAACTAATACAGCAGGAAAAACTTCTGTGCTAAACCTTTCTCCTTGAAGAACTACTTTACTACATGCATGGAGTTGTTTTTTAATGGAAAAGCATTCCAAAATATGGCATCCCCTCCTGCAGTCTGAAGTCATGCAGCTCAGAATTCTGCCACCTCAATCTGCTACCTTGTTTTGTCTAATGTGTGGACCACCCCTCAGACTTTATATATGCAGAAGATAAAAGTGGTCAACTGAATAGTACCATTTAATACTTCAGATGTGAGGAATTACATACCCTCCAACATTTCTCCGATGAAAATAGGGGCATCCCATTCCATAATGATAATTTTACTATTTATACCCCACACATCTTACTGGGTCGCCCCAGCCACTCTGGGCAGCTTCCAACATATATAAAAAACATAATTAAACACTGAACAAACTTCCCTATACAGGATTGCTTTCAGACAGCTTGGGGGTTGGGTAACTCCATACCCTCCAACATTTCTCCAGTGAAAATAGGGACATCCTAGGGAAAAGTGGGACATTCCAGGATCAAATCAGAAATGGGGACAGCTTCTCTAAATCAGGAAAATAGGGACACTTGGAGGGTCTGGAATTACATTTTGAGTGCATTCATATGTAAGAAAACGAAAACAAACAAACTTCCTGCCAAAAAACCAACAACCTGGAACAAAGCAACTTAGTACTTTTGAAGAGAATATTTTAGACCCATCAACTTCCTGCAGCCCTAGCTTTCTACTTGCAGGGAATGTGGCATGTTGTTTATTTTAGAGGAACATTCAAAATTATGATTCCTCTCCCCACACTATGAAATGGTACAGTCCATTCTACTATCTCCTTTTGTTGCATGTGGAGATCAGGCTGCCCTCCACCTTCTTTATTGGCGTTCTTTTTCCACCTGAATTTATCCTCACCATCCATTCAATATAGTTCACAGTTAATTAACCAAACTGCCCCAGTTGCACAAAATGATCATAACTTTGCCTGGATGCCTGGATGCCCTTTATGATGTGTGCACAAATCATGCTATTATAAATGTGGCTTTATAAAAGTCTTCTTGACAGAGGAGACAGAAGAAGTGAACAGAAATGGTGTCGGCTGTTGTTTTTAATTAGTCGCCTCGCAAGCAATTTTTTTTTAAGCAACAGCAGGTAATTTAAACCCCAGTGACTTAAACCCCAATGCTCTGAAAGTGCCTTTTCAACAGCTTTAACAAGAGTTTCACCCACATTGTACTTTGCTTCCTAGGTAAATGGATCCTTAAACCTTGTAGGGCAGATGTCATGTGCATTCTAATGAAGGAATCAAAAGGCTAGAGATGTGATCTATCTATTCTCCAGAAGAGCATGTCCTTCAGGTGGGTGCAGATGCCCTTGAGGTGTCCACAGGTGAAGGCAGTGCCTTGGTGAGAAGCAGAAATTCAGCTAGTAGAGACTCTACTGGTAGTGAGATAGAACAAAGGATTTTTGCTATTAGATTTGTGTCTAACCTTAAATTCCTTTTTTTAAAAAAAATAATATTTATTACTTTTCCAACAATTTAAACATTACAAAAAAAGAATAAACAATACAATACAATACAAAAACAATACAAAACACTAACACATTAAACTAACCAAACAGTTTCAATATCTTATCTTTCATTCACTTATTTCAGTGACCTCCTCACACCTCCCTTTTTGTATTCCACTTCTGTTAATTGTTTCAGCAATTCCTTTCCATCTTCCTCTGTTTTCTATCCTATAATTATCTTAACACATTTTAACCTTATTTTTCCCTTTAATTTTCTATTAATCTATTTATACTTAATTCCTTATAACATTTCTACTAAGCCGTATAACTTCATTCCAACATTTTTCTAACATTCATTAATTTTACAGTATTTCTGTAAATAATCTTTAAATTTTTTCCAATCTTCTTCCACCAACTCTTCTCCCTGGTCTCGGATTCTGCCAGTCATTTCCGCCAATTCCATATAGTCCATCAACTTCATCTGCCATTCTTCCCGGGTGGGTAAATCTTGTGTCTTCCAATATTTTGCGATGAGTATTCTTGCTGCTGTAGTTGCATACATAAAAAAAGTTCTATCCTTCTTTGGCACCAATTGGCCGACCATGCCCAGGAGAAAGGCCTCTGGTTTCTTCAGGAAGGAGTGTACCGTTCTTCGGTCAAGGGTATATGATAGCTGCGCTCCCCTGCTAGAACCTCCAAACAAGTGTCTAACCTTAAATTCCCTGGAGACTGGTCTATTGGGGCAAATGGGGCAGTTCCTCACCAAGTTCCATTGTCAGCCAATCCCACTTGCCTGCCTCCTTACTTACAACCAGTCTAGGGGTTGGAACGGCCTGTCAGTTTCCTCCAGCTTAAGTCTCAGTGTTGCCTTTGTAGAATTCAGGAAGGAGAGGGTCAAAACCAGGATCAGTTGGCTCTATCTCTCATTGGCTCTGGCTCCCCCTACTGTTGGGCTCCCTGCATTCCACCCTACCAGTCACAATGGGCAACAGTCAACAATCCTTAGTCCATCCAGGTTAGTACAGTGGTACCTCAGGTTACAGATGCTTCAGGTTACAGACTCCACTAACCCAGAAATAGTACCTCAGGTTAAGAACTTTGCTTCAGGATGAGAACAGAAATGGTGCTCCGGTGGTGCGGCAGCAGCGGGAGGCCCCATTAGCTAAAGTGGTGCTTCAGGTTAAGAACAGTTTCAGGTTAAGAACGGACCTCTGGGACGAATTAAGTTCTTAACCCGAGGTACCACTGTATTGTCTCCCTCAGCACCCCCCAATCTGGTGCCTTCCAGATATTTTGGACCTCAATTCCCAATAACCCCGGTCAGCATGGGAAAGATGGGAATTGTATACCTGAAGGAGCATCTCCACCCCCGTCGTTCAGCCCAGACACTGAGGTCCAGCTCTGAGGGCCTTCTGGCGGTTCCCTCACTGTGAGAAGCAAAGTTACAGGGAACCAGGCAGAGGGCATTCTCGGTAGTGGCCCCTGCCCTGCGGAACGCCCTCCCATCAGATGTCAAGGAGATAAACATCCATCTGACTTTTAGAAAACATCTGAAGGCAGACCAGTACAGAAAAGTTTTTCATGTTTATCATGTTTTTAATAATTTGTTGGGAGGCGCCCAGAGTGGGTGAGGCAACGCGGTCAGATGGGCAGCATATAAATAATAATGTAATATTATTATTAGTCTAAGTAGGAAAATCTGGTCTACAATGACTGGCAGCAGCAGCTGCAGGATTTCAGACAGGAGTCCATCCTTCCCAACCCTAACCTGGAGATTCCAGGTATTGAATGTAGGTCCTTCTGTATGCCTGTAGGACTGATCCATGGCCTTTTCCCACATACAGGAGTGTAGGAAGCTGCCTTATACTGATTCCGGGCAGTGGTCTCTCTCGCTCAGTATTGGCTACACCAGGTGTGGGGAACTTTTGACCCTCCAGAGGTTGCTGAACTATATCTCCCATCATCCCTGGCTGGTGGCCATGCTTTCTAGGGCTGATGGGACGCGGGTGGCGCTGTGGGTTAAACCACAGGACTTGCCGATCAGAAGGTCGGCGGTTCGAATCCCCGTGACGGAGTAAGCTCCTGTTGTTCAGTCCCAGCTCCTGCCAACCTAGCAGTTCAAAAGCTCGTCAAAGTGCAAGTAGATAAATAGGTACCGCTCCTAATGGTCAGTGGTCCCTTTACCTTCACCTTTAACATCTGGAGGCTGAATGGCTCCCCACACTTGATCTACACAGACTGGTAGTGGCTCTCCAGCGCCAGGAGGTCTTTACCATCCTGGCCAGGAACTGAATCTGCCATTGAGCAGAGACCCTGTTAACCCTTACAACACCCTATTTTTATCTCATTATAAGGATCACTGATTGAGTGCCTCCATACTAGTACTACTATTACTACTACTAATATTATTTTTTTATACACCACCCATCTGGGCGGGTTACCCCAGCCACTCTGGGCGGCTTCCAACAAATTAAAACACAGTACGACATCGAACATTAAAAAAATAAATAAATTATACAGTGATACCTTGGTTTACAACCATAATCTGTTCCAGAGGTCTGGCTGTAAACCAAAACAGGTTGCAACCCAAGGTGTGCTTTCACCAATGGGGCCTCCAAAAAAAAAATATTGGTTGTAATCCAAAAAAATGGGTTGTAATCCAAAAAAAGGGACACACACTTCAGGGTTTGACGTGGTTGTAATCCAAAACAGTTGTAATCCAAAACGGTTGCAAACCAAGGTACCACTATATTAGTTTTCAATTACAATCCAATAATAGCCTCATTATAACAATACTGATTTATAATACAATTATTAATACCAATTGTTCAAATACTGAATTATATAATTTAGATAAACTGCCCGCCTCCCGCATGCTAAAATTGATGATTTGATGATTTGCTTTATTTCTGAGTTCCAAAATCCTATTAATTTCCATTACATTCCGGTCATAATAATAATCCCTTATACAACAACTGCAATATTAATAACTTCAATTTGTGTTGACACGTTAAATGATTTATAAAACTACAAGTGGGAAACTCAAACGATATCCTTGTTCTTCCTGTGTTGGCAATTATTCTGTCTGTGGTGTTTCTTCATGTCCTTGTAAGATGCTATGTCTGTCTTTCCCCCTGGTTGTTGCTGTTATCCATCATGCCTTGGGCAGAGCTGATATCCCATTGTTGTCAAACATTAAAAACTTCACTATACAGGGCTGCCTTCAGATTTCCTCTAAAGGTTGTATAGTTACTTATCTCCTTGACATCTGATGGGAGGGCGTTCCACAGGGTGGGCACCACTCAGCGGTGGAGCAAGCCGATTGGGCGCCTGGGGCGGCGTGTGTGCCCTGCACCCAGGGGCGGAGCCAGCCACCCGTGGGGCGGGGCAAGCCAGGGCAAGACACTCCGTGGGGCCTCAGAGGAGTCTGCCTGCCTCCTCCCACTCAGCCACCCTACAGCTGAGGGGGAGGAGGCGGGTGGGCAGACTGTTTGGGGCAGCATGGACCCTGCAAGTGCCCAAGCCACCGCGTCACTCCCAGGAGAGACGCATGGCTCGGATGCACTGCAGGCCCTGCGGTGAGTGGCGCCTGGCATTTTGTCACCCCCCCCAGTAGTGACACCCAGGGAGGCCCACGCCCACCTTACCCCTCTTCCTCCGCCCTGGCACCACTACTGAGAAGGTCCTCTGCCAGCTTCTCTGTAACCTCAGTGTGCCAGTGTGGTGTAGTGGTTCAGAGTGGTAGACTCGTAATCTGGTGAACCGGGTTCGCTTCCCCGCTCCTCCACATGCAGCTGCTGGGTGACCTTGGGCTAGTCACACTTCTCTGAAGTCTCTCAGCCCCACTCACCTCACATAGTGTTTGTTGTGGGGGAGGAAGGGAAAGGAGAATGTTAGCCGCTTTGAGACTCATTCGGGAAGTGTGACTAGCCCAAGGTCAACCAGCAGCTGCATGTGGAGGAGCAGGGAAGCGAACCTGGTTCACCAGATTACGAGTCTACTGCTCTTAACCACTACACCACACTGGTTCACTCAATGAGGAAAATGACCAGGGAAATGCACTGGAAACCATGGGATAAAAAATCGCTTTGACACAACAGCATATAACCTCCCTGCAAACAATTTAGGAGCAATGCTCAATAAACAGGTCATCTGGATACACCCTCTCCAGACTGCTCTTTCATTGCGGGTGTACTCTGCAACCACTTCTTGACCCAATAATATTGCATTTGTGGTGGCTTTATATTGCTTTAATTAGTTCTGTGATGCTCCCCCAATGCTTCAACCCTATTGCTGCCCGGAGGGGCTGCAGCACAACAAAAGCGGAACAAAATAAACCAGAACATTTGCGGTATTAAAAGTTAAGCGGAATTTCAGCGGGAAGTTATGGAAATGAAGTCATGTGACCACCCTAGAACTTTCACATGTACATGCGTGATCACCGCAATAGCATTGTGAGTACAACTCATCGTGAAAACACAATAAAATATGATGTATGGAGGAGCACCATGGAGAGAGAGAGAGAGAGAGAGAGAGAGAGAAGAGAGATTTTGCGCAAGACCTCTTGATCAAAATTCCAGTATATCATTGAATCCCAGTCTATCATTGCTGCTGTGTTCTTTAGGGTAGGTGAAGGGAAGCAGCAGACTGGTATAGCTAAATATCACTCTTGTGCAAAACTCAGTTTTTAATAAAGAGAGAAATAAATGGCTACACCCCACCTGCAAAGCACAAGCCTCCATGTTGCCTATTGTGACACGTGATAAACAAAGGATGGTAGCACGTGCTCTTTGTGCACTTCTGATAGCTCAGTTGGTTAGAGCATGGTGCTTGCAGGTTCGATCGGCCACACATTTCTGCATTGCAGGAGTTGGACTGGATAACCCTCAGGGTCCCTTCCGACTCTACGATTCTGTGATAGGGGAGGAAAAGTTTTGTGCAGAAATACCTGTGGGCATGTCCTGAACAGAAAAAGGCTAGTAGAAGGTGGTGGTGGTGCAGGGGAGTGATTGAGGGGCTGTGACAAAACACTGCAGCGCCGACACATCATTCCATCAAGCTCTGTCTCCTGGTGTGGATGGCAAATGTCTGCACAGCAATGAATGTGGAATGCATGGAAGCTTGTGGGCCAGACTGGCATGCACAAAAAGCAGAACTGAGAGACCCATTTGCATTGCTGTATAAATAGCCCCCATCCGGAAGCACCGTAAGATGCCAGGATAACAACAACAACAATAATACCTACAGTACATTGGCTCCCAGTACGTTTCCGAGCACAATTCAAAGTGTTGGTGCTGACGTTTAAAGCCCTAAAGGCCTTGGCCCAGTATACCTGAAGGAGTGTCTCCACTCCCATCATTCAGCCCAGACACTGAGGTCCAGCTCCGAGGGCCTTCTGGCAGCTCCCTCCCTGTGAGAAGTGAGGTTGCAGGGAACCAGGCAGAGGGTCTTCTCAGTAGTGGTGCCCACCCTGTGGAACACCCTCCCATCAGATGTCAAGGAAATAAACAACTACAGTGGTACCTCTGGATATGAACGGGATCTGTTATGGAGCCCTGTTCGCATCCTGAAATAACATAAGACGTGATTGCGCGTGCGCGGGTCGCGTTTGCCGCTTCCGCACATGCGTGTGACATTATTCTGAGTGTCTGCGCATGCGGCAAAATTCAGAAGTAACACGCTCCGTTACTTCCGGGTTGCCACGGAGTGCAATCCAAAAATACTTAACTTGAAGCTACTTCAACCCGAGGTATGACTGTATCTGACTTTTAGAAGACATCTGAAGGCAGCCCTGTATAGGGAAGTTCTTAATGTTTGATGTTTTACTGTTCTTCTCCTTCTCCTTCTCCTTCTCCTTCTTCTTGTCCTCAATAATTATGCTGTGAACCACCCAGAGTGGCTGGGGAAACCCAGCCAGATGGGCGGGGTATAAATAATACAATTATTATTATTATTATTATTATTATTTTATTACTTTGCCCATCTGACTGGGCTGCCCTTGCCACTCTGGGTGGCTTCCAACACATATAAAAACATGGTAGTGACAGCCTGCTACCCCACAGCCTGGGGAGCTATGTTTCAGAGGTATACTGCACTCTGCAGAACACACTGGGAGCACGATGGCGCGTCCCCCGCCCCCAGGATCTCTTTAACCCAGAGAGCAAACTCCATCTTGCCTTTTAAACCAGTGGGAAGGGCCACTGCAGAGTCACTCAGCCCTGGCCCAGCAGGGCCTTCAGCGAGCTGTATTAATAGGAAGGGTGTGGGGCGCGTCGCAGCTGCAGCGATGCTGGTCAGCGAAATCATATGGGTGCCACAAACGCCGCCCCCGCCCCTGTTTTCCCGGGTGAGGTGTGGGCGGATAGGCGATGCCTTTGGCCCGCACAAAGTTTGGGGCTGGCAAGGAGCACAGATGGGCTTCAGAGCATTTCCTGTTACTGTAGTTGTCGAAGGCTGACCCTGAAACAAGCTTAGCTTTTTGGACAGCCGTAATCCCCCCAGGACAGCATTCTTTTCACGAATTTATAGTTTTTCTAAGATTTTGAAACGGGTTGCTTTTTCCGGAGAGATCATTCTCATTCTCTCTCTCTCTCTTTCTCTCTTCCTCCTCCTTTCCCTCCTGTAGCAAATTTCCCAACCCGTGGAATTTTCTAGGCTGAGAAATAGGTGGCGGGAGGCATATTTTTCAGAACAGTTCCCAGGAATCTGTGCAAAAGGCACAGGGAAAGAGAGGGGGACGTTCTCCTGCGCAAGCAGTACACGAGCCCTGAGGTTACTGTTTATAGATCTCTTGCGCAGTTCCCATCAATTCTGCAATGGGGTTTCCGCAGGAGAATTCCCCTCTGGATTCCGAAGACAGATTGCTAATTATATCGATAAATGAGAAGGGAGAAAACAGTTATTATTTAGGCAAAATGCTGGGGAGGAGGAGAGTAATTAATTTTAATTTTCCCGAATAGAGAAAAGAACCTTCCCACTTACTAGAGCAGACAATTCCAAAAATAACTGTTGAAAACAATTTTTTTAAATAAAGAGGAAAACCACACCTAGGAGCTTCCTCATAGATGCCTTTAATTTAACGTGTATTGTTTTCTTAAGTTGCAACATGGCTCTTCCTCTTCACGGAGCAGAGGCCGGCTTTTCTTGGTGCAGAAAAGAAACCCTTTTAGGATGTTGGCGTGGTGTTCCTAACCCAGCCAGATGACCGCCCCCAAAATGTCGCAAAATACTCACCTCTGAAGAATGAATCTGTAAATTAAACCGTTGGTTGTAAAGAGGATTAATGTAGGCGAGGGAGGTAACCCTGTTATATTTAAAGATGCTGACGTTCTTAGAAATCGTGCCAGTCTCTTATTGCAAGCTGCATATTATATAGCAAATAAATAAAGCTTGGCCCTTATTTTTTAAACAACAACAGCAACGATCGGTGCTCTCTACTACAACGCATTCCCCTTGCTTCTCTAGACGAGAGTATTAAACAGCTTAGCAACAATTAACTTCATTTTGCACTAATCGCGACTTCAAATAACAGGAGCGGTCAATAAACAAATAAAAATCCACATTTTAAACTGCTGCTAATCTTGCAGTCAATACCTGCCACGAACGCTTCCAACCCTATGCGAAGGCTCTTTCTTTCTTTGTTTCTTTCTCCCTTTAAACGAATTGTTAACCAAGAAAGCAAACTTCTTTATCTCCATTTTTGTTTCCTTTTATTAAATGAACGCGAGGTTCTCTTTTAAACGCCTGACCGTCTCTCTGCGTTTTTACAGTGCACAGATTTCAGCCGGAGGGAGAGAAAAATGAAGACAAGTCGAGCGGAATCTTTCCCTGCGACAGCGTTGCTGACCTTTTAAAAAAGTTTGCATAAGATTTTCCTGATTTATTTTTGTTAAGTGTAGCGCAGGTCTGTCCTGGAGGTCCACATTTCCTTACAGAACACAGCCGGTACCTTTTCCTCCCCTGACATAAGGTGTTTTATTTATTAAAGAAACACCCCCCAAAAACACCCCTGGTTACAACTATTTCATCGCAACTGAAATGATTGCTACTGAGTTGCAATCATTTAATTCTAACTGTCCTTAATGATGGGCTGCAAATCTCCCATAATAATATCCTCTAACATGGTACAGTATCCCCCCCCCAACACATCTTAATTCTTAAGCTTTGAGTTACTGTGTTGTCGGTTTAAATGTCCCTTATGTCGCTTGCTACGCACTAGCGACTATTACTTATTAAAACTTTTAGCACTCTCTGTTTTCCGTTCTTGGGGCAAGTTATTTTTCTACGTCCCAAAAGATGATGATGATGATGATAATGATAATGATAATATGATAATGATAATATGATAATAACCATCTCGAAGATCTATTAGGTAAGCCACCTTGAAATGAACCAGAGATGCGGAAGAACAGGAACCTCTTGCAAAAGCTTTATATTAAACACGTGATTGCCTCACTTTTAGGTTTAATCCAGTTTTAAAAATTCCGCTTCCACCTCTCTCTCCCACCAAAACCAAGCATTTTCTTTTACACTTGCCTGTTTTCTGTATTCTCTGCAATTTTTTCAGGCCAGTACAGAAACAACCCGACCTGGAACTTACTTCAGTAAACTTACTTAACTGCAAGCGATTCTTAGAAATGAATAAGGGCGCTATTTTCTTTCTGATGCCGCGTTATGCAACCGCATCTACCTATAACTAATTTGTATCTATATCCACAGCTACCGTATATTTTTATTTACCGCGTTTATTCCTTGTATACTGTGTCATCCGGACCTGCTGTGGGACCAAGCCCCATTTCCACTGTATCTCCGTGGGGTGTTCAGGATCAGGGCTTAACACTTATAATTATTGACCCAGCCCAGCTTGGCTTCAGTAGAGGTGCACAATTTTTTGAATGGAAAGTCGTGTGTTAATTAAATTGTTGATTTTGAAACGCTGGCATGAAAAACTCGCAATGGGAAGCGATGAGTCGTGTATTTCATTCAGAAACAACTACGGACCGATTCTGTCCATTGTGTGCACTCGGCTTTATTTATTCATTCGTTTTTGAAACTGCCGTAAGCCGCCTCGACCGCTGCTTCTAGGGCGGAATACAATAATCCTCTGAAATAAAGACGTAAATAAAATCGGCGTTGTAAGTGGCAGTAGTTCCGCAGCTCTTTCAAAACCTTCGATCATCAAATGCGACGTGCGAGTTGTGTACCTTGCAGTCTGGGTCCTTTTCGCTTAAAATATCCCCCAGATATTTTATAAGAGGGCAGGCATCAGAAGGACGCCAACTCTTGCACGCGTTTATTTAACAAAAAATATAGAAGTAAAATACAAATACCTGGGAATTCAGGCTGATGTTCTGTGCGCACTTACTTGGGACTGAGGAAGCCCAATTGAATTCAATGGAGCGTCTCCATCTCCATCGCTCTGCCCGGACACTGAGGTCCAGCACCGAGGGCCTTCTGGCGGTTCCCTCGCTGCGAGAAGCCAAGTTACAGGGAACCAGGCAGAGGGCCTTCTTGGTGGTGGCGCCCACCCTGTGGAACGCCCTCCCACCAGATGTCAAAGAGAAAAATAACTACCAAACTTTTAGAAGACATCTAAAGGCAGCCCTTTTTAGGGACGTTTTTAATGTTTAATAGGTCATTGTATTTTAGTGTTTTGTTGGAAGCCGCCCAGAGTGGCTGGGGGGACCCAGCCAGATGGGCGGAGTATAAATATTTTATTATTATTATTATTATTATTATTATTATTATTATTATTATTATTATTCAATGGGCTTCCTTCCAAGGAAACATGGGATCTAAGTGGCCTGCTGTTGCAAGATCTCATCCTCATACCTTTATTTGACCTGAGACATTATCCGACCTTGGACTGTGTAAAAACAAAGAATGATCAGCAGGAGTCCTATCTAAAAAGAGAGAGATAGGTGCTGGGGCTCAGAGTTGCCATTCCACGCCTGGAGACTGTCCACACACACCCCACCTGATCCCAGATGTGTGAAAAGGAACTAAGTGTATGTAGCTAACTCCGCGGGGACAGAAAAGCACTCTGCACATGCTTAGAGTCATTTCTTCCTTTTGATAAGAGTTTTTTACATTCTCAGTGGTGCCCTCAGGGCAGGACTTAGGGGGCAGAGATTCAGGAGCCCCAACTCGGTAGAATGAACAGGAGGAGACCCCCCCAAAAAAACAACACCCTGCAAGGCTAGCTTAATTCATTTTGAAGGAAGTGAGCACATTCCCATCTAAACGGAGCATGTGGGAGAGATCCCTTACCTAACTACGCCGCTATATATTCGGGGGGGGGGACTTTAGCTCTGAAAGCCGGTTCGGGGCTAACAGCTGATCTTCTACAGGTCCCGAAATAAATATTAAAAGGAGATCCTAGTTTTAATATTTTAAATATTAAAAGGAGATATTCCTTTTTACCTCCTGTGCCGCCTCCACTTCTAACAACAGAATCCACCCTTTTCCATGTAAACTGCTGCCACCAATACAGTAATTCAAAATAATTTCAGGACTTGGGAAATAAAGCATCCGGTGGGAGTTATTTTTGGGGGGGGGGGGGGGAATTTGGCCGATATTTTGTTTTGTCTTGGCTGCTTGCTGTAAGCAAACCACCCTTTCGACGTGTAAACACTTGCACGCGTTTTTCAAACGTGTGCAAAGCGTGTTGCTCTCTCCCGATGCTGAATTTGCTGCTGCTGTTGTGGGGAGATCAAGACACGCCTTAAGGCCAATAGTGGCCTATCTATCTTCTCTCTCACCTCTCGAGGAGGGTCCTGGCTCAGTGGTTGGGCATCTGCCTTGCATGCAGATAGGCCACAGGTTCGATCCCCGGCGCCTCCAGGCAAGACTGGGCGAGACTCCTTGCCTGAAACGCCGGAGAGACCCGCTGCCAGTCAGTGTAAGCAACGCTGAGTAAACGGGATCCGGCGGCCTGGCTCAGGAATAAGGGAACTGCCTTCGATCTAAGTGACTGTAAAACATATTCCTGTTATTCATTTCATTCTCTCTCTCCCGCAATTGCCAATTAAAGGGGCGGGGTGGGGGTGATTGACACGCGTCGCTCAAAGGGCTACGTCTGAACGTTCCGGAGATGGAAGAGAAGCCAGTGTACATTGGAGACAAGGTAGGTTTTTAGACTCACATGGTAGGTTTTAGGCTAAACAGACCCAACTCCCAAGTGATGCATTGCAGAGGGTCTTAAGGTGCGGGGATTAAAACAAGAACCTGCTAAGGCGAGCAATAAACATTTGCACCTCTCTTTTCCTTTCTTTCTTTCTTTGCTCTACCGCAAAGAAATGAGGATAATGAGGATCGCTGTTACAAATTCCTACCAATTCCTACCAATGGCTTGCTTTCTATAGGAACTAATAGTGCACCACTGTGCATATTTACTCAGAAGGAAATCCCGTTGCTTTTAAGGTGCTTGCTCCCATGTATGCATATAATAATAATAATAATAATAATAATAATAATAATAATTTATTTATACCCCGCCCATCTGGTTGGGTTTCCCCAGCCATGTATGCATGCATTTATCTGGATAATTTAAAAAACCAGCCCTTTCTCAATAGGGACAAGTGGGTATAAGGCTGCAGCCTGTGAAAGACCACGTTATTCATAGGTCATCGAGGGTGGGCTGTGTTCTGCATCGTGGAGCCAGAAGCTCGCCTAAGTCAACTATCGATATTTAATGCCAGACTGTAACCTCGCCTGCTGGGAAACCTCTCCCATTTTCTTGCAGTGGAGCTTTCCTCCGGGTAAACAGGCATCCGGGTCGAGACTTAAGCAGACCGCATATGAAGCATATTCTCCCTTCCCTTTCCTCTCCAAATAATTCTGGGCACTGTGGTTTATGAAGGGTTGCTGTGAACTGTAACTCCGCGAGGAGTAAACTACAATGCCCAGAATTCTTTGAGCGTGAAAATGCGCTTCGAATGTGCTCTATAATTCTATTAGGTGAGATTCCAGCATCGCAGGGGGTTGGACTAGATTGGGGAGGGGTGTCCCTTGGTGTTTTTGTTGTTGTTAAAGGTATAGTGTGTAAGCAAACTACGTTGGCTTCTTGCAACTGAAAGCAAATTTCACTAAATTGAATGGGACTGATTTCGAAGGGATTACTTCTGATAATGCAGCCAGAGGAAACATATAAACGGGGTGGTCTCTCCCCCCCTATATATTTTTCCTTTGAACTCACCCACAAAGGCTGTGATAGGAAGTGAGCAATCCTATTTGTGTCTACTCAGAACTAAGGCCCACGTCGTTGAATGGGACTTACTCCCAGGTAAGTGTGCATTAAGCTGAATGAACATTTTAAAAAAAATGTTTTTATTTAAAGATTTTAATGTGTAACTATCTCTGTTTTCAGTTCTCAGAGTCCTTTCTACAGGTCAGTTAGCATGAAGGAGGACTTCGCTGCATCCTATAAGTGATGGCATGGGAACTACCCAATCAGCCCCTCACATTCCACACCCCACTCCAAACTGCAAGAGACTGTTCTATCTGCCACCTTTTCCAGTGACACTCTTATTGTGAAAACAGAGAAAAATGTTACAGGCTGCGAGAGAGGTGCTGTCTTAAAGATGATTGGATGCTCTGCGATGAATAAGGCAATTCTATGTAAATACGGTAACAGTAGTGGCATTCTTTTTGCACCCGGCTCTGGTTGGCTTCAAGCAAAAAACAAATACAGTGGTACCTTGGCTCTCAAACTTAATCCGTTCCGGAAGTCCGTTCCAAAACCAAAGCGTTCCAAAAGCAAGGCGTACTTTCCCATAATGCAAAGCAGATTAATCCATTCCAGACTCTTAAAAACAACCCCTAAAACAGCAATTTAACATGAATTTTACTATCTGACAAGAGCATTGATCCATAAAATGAAAGCAATAATCAATGTTCTGTACTATAAAATAAATGAGACAGTATTGTAGATGATAAAAATTAAATTATTTTTTCCCCCTTACCTGCACTGATGATAGTACAGCGGTACCTCGGGTTAAGAACTTAATTCGTTCTGGAGGTCCGTTCTTAACCTGAAACTGTTCTTAACCTCAGGTACCACTTTAGCTAATGGGGCCTCTCGCTGCCGCCGTGCCGCTGCCACATGATTTCTGTTCTCATCCTGAAGCAAAGTTCTTAACCTGAGGTACTATTTCTGGGTTTGTGGAGTCTGTAACCTGAAGCGTCTGTAACCCAAGGTACCACTGTAATTGTTTGGATGGGGGGCTTTTATCCATTTCTGCAGTCACACAATCAATCAATCAATCAATCAATCATACAATGGAAAACAAGTCAGGCAGTCACAGAAATTAAAAAGCCACACAAACAAAAACACACAAAAATATATAGCAAAAACAAAAGCACCAAATATCACCTCAGAACGCTGCAATCGGAAATAGAAGGCCTTAATTACGATGGGGGGGGGGACTTAAATGAGCTCTGCAAGGGTAAAAGTGGAAGGAAGGAAGCCTTAATTACTATGTGGGGGACTCAAATTAACTGTGCAACAGTGAAAACGGAAGCTCAGGAGCACGTTCGGCTTCCAAGGCAAAGTTTGAAAATCGGAACATGTACTTCTGGGTTTGCAGCGTTCAAGTTCTGAGTTGTTCAGGAACTAAGCTCTTCAAAAACTGAGGTACCACTGTAATGTAAATCCTACAAGCCTACCGACTGCTGCATGACATCATTAGGTGAGATGTTGTCTTGCCTATGGCCCATGGAAATGAATGGAAACTTGTAAGAGGACAATTGCAACCAAAAGACAATATTCCAGTGGTGGGGTTGGTCAGTTTCCACTTTGGCCTACCTACTCGATGTCAAGGAACCACCACCAACCAAGAGTTGCTTCTTATAAGTGGCTCCATTCGAGGCCACCTTCTTTGATGGCTCCATCAGATAATACACTTCCAAGGGCAACATCTAATGCATTGAAAATTCAGATGCTGTGCAGTGTGCCCAACAATGAGACCAATAACAGCACATTCCTGACCAAACCATCATTTTTCTCACTTTGGAAATAGACACGAGAAGATTGTGCAGAAGAGGAAGCTGAAAATTGCTGGGGAAACTCCTGTGTCTTTTCAGGGCCGGGTTGCAGCCATTCAAGCTTCTCCTGGAACTGTGGTTTAGGGTGGTTTACTGTGGGGCACAGCTCCAGGGACCAGGACACCTGCTGATTAATTGTCCCAGATCTCAACTCCGAGGCAGATTGGGCCAACTTGAGGGCCTTCTCGGTACTGGCGCCCGCCCTCCCATCAGATGTCAAAGAAATAAACAACTATCTGATGTTTAGAAGACATCTGAAGGCAGCCCTGTTTAGGGAAGTTTTTAATGTGTGATGTTTTAATGTATTTTTAATCTCTTGTTGGAAGCCGCCCAGAGTGGCTAGGGAAACCCAGCCAGATGGGCGGGGTATAAGTAATAAATTGTTGTTGTTGTTGTTACTGCAGATTGGCACAGGACTGCACTAAAGGAGTGTTAAATGCAAACTCCAAAGTCTGATATACCCTCAAAACCCCACCCAAAGGTATTTTTTCCTCCAATAAATTGTTAATCATTTTATTTAACAAAAAAAAAGTAAGTTGCAATCAAAGAAAGGATAATGCAAACTTATTGATCATATATCACGAAAGAGGGGAAAAAACCTAACTCACAAACTTAAAGAGTAGTCTATCTTCTTTGTTAAATTACTTGTATCAGGAGGAGATAAAAACCACCCATTTTTCTATACATTTGTTTTTGAAAAGCACATTTTCTCTTAGCTGGACATAATATTTAAGTGTCTCTATTGTGGATACATCCTATATTCCATAAAGCAACTCAGACAGAGAAGGAATCTTCTCCGATAGGCCAAAGTTTGGGGCTAGTTTTGAATTGCTTTGTGCAACAAATTTTGAGTCTTGTGCTGCCATTGAAAAAAGTATGTCCCCCATGACCAGTCCCAAGCCCCCACCTTGCTGAAACAAGTCTGGGTCAGGTCAGTGCCTGGATGGGCAACTACCTGGGAACCACATGGATCCTGCCTTGGAGTCTATGATGGAAGAAAGTTGGAATACAAATGTAGGGAAATTTAAAAAATAAAACCCCGGTCAAAGTTTTGTGCTGCTTTGTGCCTCAAACCCTGAGGTATGTGTTGCCATCCATACATGAGTTTCTGAGGTATCCATTCAATGGTCTCATGCAATACCTCAAAGCAACTTGGGCTATCTACACATTAGCCAGTGCCAGATTTACGTATAAGCTAAACAAGCTATAGCTTAGGGCCCCACTCTCTTGGGAGGCCCCAAAAAATTAAAGGAAAAAAACACCTGGATGTACATTTCCAAAATATAAGATAAAAAACAAATAAAATAAAACCTACATACAGCAACAGTGTTTTGTGTTGTGTAGGCTCCTGTGATGTTAGGGAGCTAGCCTGCTCCCTAAAATATCACTGATTTGCTCATTTCTATATATAGGGTGCCTACATTCTGCATGGACTGGTTGCCTGGCAACATTTGCAAATGGCTTTAGATACCTATTAGGTCCGTAAATTACCATATAGCATATATTCAACACAAAAAACAGTGACAATATGTTGTGGACAAAGGACAGCTGGACATATAAAGGGCCCCATTACGGTACCTTCAGTAGCTTAGGGCCTCATCAAACCTAAATCCAGCCCTGATATTAGCAGCTTAAAATAGAGCAAGACTGTTCCTCACCTGCTGTGTTTCGAGTCACATCCTTATGTTGCTGTACACCCTAGAGAAGGGTGGGTGGGTATATCTTCACCTGATGCCCATTAACTGATTTGTTTTCCCACACCAAACTCCAAATTCACTAAAGCTGTTTGTCTGCACATG